AAAGAGCGCGTTGCGATGTGTCTCCGAGTTATATATATATATATTATATATATTATAATGTATTATATGTATTATATGTATTATATATATTTATTATATGTATTATATATATTTATTATATATATTATATATATATTATATATTATATATATTATATATATTATATATATTATATATATTATATATATTATATAGGGATAGATTAAAATTTATAACAACATTTTTAATAAAATAAATATCCATTTACCAAATATTTTAAGATTCAGCAAGGATATATAAGATTAATCCATCCCCATATATATATAATATATAATATATAATATATAAATATATATCTAATATATAACATTTACATATATATATATTATATTATATATTATATATTATATATTATATATTATATATTATATATATATTAGATATATTAGATATATATATTATATATATTATATTATATAAATATATATTATATATTATATATTATATATTATCTTTTAAATAAATACATATTTTCATTATAAAATATCATATATATTATATATTTATTTATTTTTTTAACTAAAAATAAATTAAAATATAATATCGTACAATATAATATATTATTATAAAAAATATATATATAATTTATAAAAAATATATATATAAATTTTAAAAAATATATTATTATTCTTTTATATTTAAAATATACATTAATTTAATAATTTAACCCAATAATAATAATATCAAGATTCATTTTATATAATATTAAATATTTATCAATTATTTTAATATATATATATATCATTTTTCAATATAAATAAATAAAAATATTAATTTTATTGTCCAAATTTCTAAATATATAATTTTAAAATAGAATTATAAATCCAATTCAAATAATAAAATAATTATTTTTTTTATAATTCCTAAAATAGGAAAAATAATCCAATATTAGATTTATTTTTTTAAATATTATTTATATTATTTATATTATTTATATTTAACCCTTTAAAAAATAAAAGAAACCATATATATCCCAAGAGGGGAGTAGTGGCAAAGAGTTAGGTCTTGTCGGTTTGTCACTTTGTTTTAATTTTTGTTTTTTGTTTTTTTTTCCCGAATATGTAGGAAGGATTTTATTTCATTCTGGGGGTCTAGGGGTTAAATTTGTGTTCGCTAGATATCGCGTCATCGTATGAGGCCCATACAGCTTGAGTATTGTACAAGAATTCACTGTATAAGAATTTGAGGGGCTCGAATCCAAAGGCGGGCTACATATTTTCAGGTATACCAAACACATAGTACTTTTAGAATTTAAGGGACCCTGGAGTAGGATTGCCAAATTCTTAAATTACTGCTTATACGCGAGGTTTGCAATTCCCTTTAGCGATTCATTTTTTTGGCGTGACCCCTTATATTGTCTTACGGGATGAAATTAGGCTTTGCAGAAAAAACATTTTTCAAGCTCCGATTTTTTTTTTTTAGCGCATGTTTGGACTGCTTCCATCCCACCCAAAATCCATGTGTGGATAGGCTTGGGGACCTAAAACATTGTTTTCCTCAATAGCTTGAAGAAAACGGAGGCTTTGCTGAAAATCAATTTTTCAAGCTCCGATTTTTTTTTCTGCGAAAAAAACAATTTTTCAGGCTCCAAAAAATTGCTTTTTGCGCACTAACCTTTTAAAACTCATACAAGCATGGTTTTGCAAAAAAAATATTTTTTAGGCTCTAATTTGTTTTTCCGTACTGCTCTCATGAACCTCAGACAAGCCCGGCTTTGCAAAAATCAAATTTTCAGGCTCTAAAAAATATTTTTTTTCGCATGCCTCTTGTGAAATCTGCCAACTCCACCTTGTTACCTCCTTTAAGCTTGCTCCAACTTGTGCAGGTGCATGCAATACATAACTAAGAATGCCCTAAGAATTTGAGGGACCCTCGGCCTGTTGTGGTGTAAATTTGCCTGCATTTTGAAAATAAGAATTTGAGGGACCCTGGACCTCAAGCTTTCGGATTCTTAACCAGCGCTCAGGCTGTATGATCGTGCCTATGGTGAATTTTGCCACGAGTGGTTACTTTTCGACGTCGCGTGGCATCGCTTCGCATGGCAGGCGTGGTACTTTGTGACATTCCAACGTGTTTCATAGTACGTCAAGAATCGTTAGTAAGTACGCGCAATGTTTTTGCGACGTCTTCAGAAAATACGTTCCAATTTTCATGGCAGGCGTAGCCCTTTAGGCGACCTCCATCGTCATTCCACGTGGCAGGCACAATACTTTAGACGTGTCGTGTTGCGTATTTTTTGCGAATGACATTGTCAAGGCTGCGTGAAATGACAACGTGCAAATTCCGTGGCAGGTGTGGCATTTTGTGAGATGTAATATCAAATAACTGAAGTTTCGCACGAAACATTGAGTTTGCAAATTTTAAGATTCATAAGAGAATTCGTAGCAAAACATCGATTTTGAAGCTACGAAGTATGAACATTGGAGGAAGATTCGAACGAAATGCTCATTTTGAGGCTCCTACATGTCTAGTCTCGATTCTCTGGTTTTCTTCTGCCGTCGCCGTGTCTATGGGGGAAGCTACAAAATCTCTCCTTTTCGAAGGTTTCAACGCAGGTTATCGTGCTGTTTTGCGTGGCAGGCGTGGCACTCGTGATATTCTCACATGTCTGCAAACGCGTCGAAAATCGTTTTGCGTGGCAGGCGCAATATTTTTGCGTCGTTTTCAGAAAATGGGTTGCACTTTTCGTGGCAGGCGCAGCACTTTGGAGTCGTCGTTTTGCGCGGCAGGCGCAACACTTTAGACGTGGCGTGTTGCGTGTTTTTTGCGAATACCATTGTCAGGGCTGCGTCAAGTGGTGACAATTTGCACAATCCGTGGCAGGTGTGGCATGTTGTGACATGTGATGACGCTCCGCACTCCACACTCTACTCTGTACACTCCACAATCTACACTTTACACTCTACACTTTACACTCTACAGTTTACACTCCAGACTCTACACTCCACACTCCACACTCTACACTCCACACTTTACACTCCACACTCCACACTTTACACTCCACACTCCACACTTTACACTTTGACCTTTACACTCTACACTCTACACTTTACACTCCACTCTTTACACTCTACACTTTACACTTCACACTCCACTCTTTACACTCCACACTTTGCACTTTACACTGCGCTCTTTACACTCCACACTTTACACTTTACACTCTACACTTTACACTCCACACTTTACACTCCACACTCTACACTCCACTCTTTACACTCTACACTTTACACTTTACACTCCACACTCCACACTTTACACTCCACACTTTACACTCCACACTTTACACTCCACACTTTACACTCCACACTCTGCAGTTTACACTCCATGGTGTACACTCCACACTTCACGCTTTACACTCTGCACTCTACACTTTTCGCTCCACACTTTACACTTTACACTCCACACTCCACACTTTTCACTTTGACCTTTACCGTTTACAGTTTACACTTTACACTCCACTCTTTACACTCCACACTCCACACTTTTCACTTTGACCTTTACAGTTTACACTTTACACTCCACACTCCACACTTTACACTTTACACTCCACACTTTGCACTCCACACTTTACACTTTACACTCCAGACTCTACACTTTACACTCCACACTTTACACTCCACATTCTACACTTCACACTCTACACTCCACACTCCACACTTTACACTCCACACTCCACACTTCACACTTTACACTCCACACTCTACACTCCACACTCCCCACTCTACACTTTACACTCCACAGTGTACACTCCACACTTCACACTTTACACTCTGCACTCTACATTTTACGCTCCACGCTCCACACTTTACACTTTACACTCCACGCTCTAGACTTTAGACTCCAACCTCCACACTTTGCACTCCACCCTCTTCCGCATTCCACAGTCTACAGCGCACTGGTACGGTAACAGCGGAAAAATGTACAAGACTGTTCAAATAACTTGTTTCACAAAAGTGATCTGGGTGACTGCATTTGGGTTCGTGGGCTGCATCTCGATTTTTTTTGGTTTTGTTTAGCCATTGCAGAGGTGCCAAGCAGAAATTGTCAATGGTTGCACAGTAGTGACATAGCCATTGCAGATGTGCCAAGCAGAAACTGTCAGTGCGTGTGTAAGAGAACAGTGAGAAAACTGCACTCTGAGGGTGTCCCCTTCTGAAACAAAAACAGAAACCAAAGCAACGGCACTGTTAAAAATGAAATGTTCTTTTCAGATACAATCGCTTGGCGCCCAAGAACTTGTGGCAAATCCCAAGTCAATCCTGTTCTCTTTTGCAGATCTCCTATTTAGAAAGCCACCTACAAATCTCCAGGCGCTGATCTCGTCTCACCCATACTGGCTGCTGGAGTTTGGGAACATTGGCATCCTGTACAGCGAAATTCCATGAAACCGTCCTTTACAGTTTCCTTATTCCATTCTTTTCCCTTGGAGGTATCATGTTACACCCTTTAACTTACTTGTAATATCTTGCAATGTCTTTTTCAATTCGCTTGCCTTGCGTAATGTGATGTGCGGCTGCCCTTCAGCACAGGTTTCCTGTCTGGACAGGCTGGGATGTCACATTAAGAACAACTTCGTCTTCGCATAGGATTGCTGAAGGTGCTGCCGGATCCTGGAATGATGACACTGAAACTGCTACTGGCGCCAGCTAAGGTTGGGGCTGCGCCTTTAGAATTGTCCGTTTGCACTGCTACCACCTTTGAGTTCTCACTGATGAACGCCTTGACTTCATCTTGGAACACTTCAACACTATTGGCTTCAAGTGTGTCCTTGTTGCCTATTGAGACAGGTGAGACACCCATCATCGGTGGTGCTTCAAGCGGTGCTATTGGGCTCTCTGCCGAGGCATGATATCTGCAGGCATCTCACCCAAAACCACAGCAAGATCAAAATAAATGTAACATCCATAGGTGATGCCGGACCAAGGACAAGCTTGCCGTCCAATAGCTTGTGGGATCAGTGATCATGTAAAACAAGCCGTAGATTTGAAGAAACATTGAAAGGACAGCTTCGCCAGTTTTTTCGCTCTGCAGAAGTGACAAGACAGCATCTGTTCGGAGATTCGTCCTGAAAGAATGCCATCAGAGAGAAGCCAGGATGAACAAACAATGCGTTTCAGATGCTTCAGAGCCAGATCAATGGTTCGAAGAATTATAAAACCCTGTGCGGCTGCAAACCAATAATGCTGCCTGTCCTGGTACAACCAGAACATCTGGAAGTCCAGTATGATGTCAGCCAAATAGAAACTCAGTTCCACAAGCATCAAATACCTATTGAAATTACTTGATCTTGCAAACCAGGTATGGGATCGAAGCTCATCTCGAAGTGCCACTTTTTCTGCAAGTATTCGTTCTCGAAGTTCCACATTAGACGGCACGGCGAACGAATTTCCACTGCAGCACCAAAATGTTGTTGCCAAACCCCATATCAGTGACCAAATCACCATGAGCATTGCAGCATGGCGGCAAAGATCTGTACTCAACGTGGATCACTTGCCATCATGGCTTCATCTAGACTACTACAGTAGTTACTATAGTCATCCAAACCAGCGCGTCTGCGGTTTGCAATGTCTACCTCCTCTAGCGTACAAATGGTCGTCCTGGACCAATGCTTACAAGATTTGCAATCGCAAAGGTTAAGTTTCTCTGACTTGACCAGTGTGTCCTGAAGCCAACCAATAGCGCAACACATTCGTGCAGTTCACAAGACCCAGAAAGGATGGAGTCCCAAACCAAGGATTTTGGATCAGGAATTGCGCTACAAAAGGTGGTGCTATTAAAATAAATGCTGCACTCGTATTCGAAGGGAACGGGAGGCCACGAAGTGCACGCTTGGTCAAGTGTTATCTCACCTGAAGTCCAAATTGCGAGACCATGGGCATTGCCCCATCTGTGCAGTTCAGTTGGGTCCCATCGGAGGCCACGCAGTATTGGGTTTTGATATATCCCATTGCCAGAAACGAAGGGGCAACGTTGGTGACCTGGTTTTTCCGGCTGCTAGAACTTGTCAAACCGACTTCGTCCAAGGCCTGCTTGCGCAGATGTTCGGACCACCAAGCGGGATCACGGCATCTTCTCTCGAAATCACGAATGAGGCGACACGCTGTGCTGTTGACATTGTTGCTTTGCGCGTTGCATGTTTTGAGGTCGGAAGTACCTTCTGATTTGTAATAGTAAGCCCAGGTGGCAGCCCCCAAGGATCTTTCTGTACAAAGCATGGGTTCAACACGGTACACTGCAAACAGAAAAAAAACATGGCAGTGAAGGCCACACTGCAGGCAAGACGAATCCCCAAAGATATGACGCCGAAAAATGAACTTGCTCTCTGATGCTCTCCTAGACCAAACCTTGAATCATGCTTGGGGCGCAACACATGCACCGGCTGCAAAAACGGATCAAGAAAACTGCCTCGCCAACATGAAAGCTGACCATGAGAAGCAGCACTGCCATAGTGACGTATGGAGACGCGACCAAATGGAGGCCGGGGACCGGGGACAACAGCGATTGCACTGACTTCAGTAAATGACATCACCCAAACCGCCAGCTGTCTCCACCATATCCACCATTCCTTTCGCAATACACGCCGCCAAGCTTCCAATCTGATGCTCAAACGGAATCGCAAAACGGGATCCGGATCCTCCAGTATCTCTCCATGGCTCATGCTCAATTTTTTCAGAAGAGTAATTACCTCACTTTGAAGTCTTTTAATTGACCAGAAAATTAAGTTTCCTTATATCTCATATGTTCATAATATATGTTCTACAGTTTGCACTGTTTGCCTTGGTTTCTGACTTTTCCAACTTCAACAACTCCGTCAATTAGAGGCGACATATTCTGCGACGGATTGGCTGTCCCATGTTTCGTTGGGCTAGTGGCACAGTGGTGACAGCAGTGTATCTGAGAGCCTATTTGCGACCCAAGAAATAAAATCGCTCCTTGCATCTCCTTGCTACGTCTGGGCTAATGAAGACTGAAGAACTTTCCAGCATGGGCTTGAAACATCTCTTGAAATGAGAATCCTCTCGACCCTCTGTTGCAAGCGTTGTGATGCGTCGTGATGTTCCACAATGGACTTCTATGCATTTGCAGTATGATTAAATGATATTGAATGACTAGACATCAATGGGATTCAATGGGTATGTGGATCGGCAAGCCCCGCGAGAAACATCCACAGCAACATTCGGCTTTTTGAAGTTCGCTCAACCGCTTCAGGCGCATCTCATTGGCCTTCTGATGGGACTTGAACAACTCAAACACAGAAAGTGCTGAAAGTGTCTCGAGAGTCCGCGGAGTCTCGTCTTTGATCAGAACCACCGCGTGAATGTATGAAGCTAAGCCTTCTGGTACAATAACAGTAAACGGCATTGCGTCAACATCGTGTCTCTCCTCGGACAAGGAGCTCGAGCAGCTTGCCCGTGCAGTTTCGACCAAAGCGGGCCAGAGGCGATGTGTTGCATCTAAGAAAATCAGAGGCACTCCCACTGGGGCTGCCCTGAACACATCAGGGATGACTCCACCAAGAAGACCTTCAACCAACAGAGCTGCCTCGTTCTCATGCAAGACATAAGCTGCAATGACCATGTCAGCCTGCCCTACCTCTTCCACCGCAGAGGTGGCCATTGAATCTCTGAGATCTGAAGGCGCGATCAATTCGATGAAATCTGCACTTTGCCAAGGCCAAATTTCTGAGGCCACATCTGAGACAGCTGAGAGGGCAATTGTCCAGGCTGGAGCTAAGTCCAATACTTTGCATCTCACAGCACAATTTGGAAACGGAGCACAATCTTCAGTCGGAAACCTCTCACTCCAGAGATTTGCGCTGGGCTCCTGCTGGCTCGCCTCTTTCAGGGCTGCCATTGCAGCCAGCATAGCAATGGCGTCGAAGCCCCACCACCAAGGCTCGCCACGCGGAATTCTCGTTCTTCTTTGCTTCAGCAAGACTAACTCACATTTCAACTTCTTCTGCAAGATCTTTCGAAGTTCTACGATCAAATGCACCGCAAAGGGTCTCAGCGGCAAAATATCGCTCAGGCCAAACACCATATCAAAGGCCAAACCACCATATGCATGGCAGCAAAGAAGTGTACTCCAGACCGTGGACACACACCCATATGCCAAAGAGGTCATATTTTTATTCCGTGACCAGTCCTTAGCCCAGTAGTCAATGTCAACCACCAAGGCATCAGGTGCTAGGCAGTTGCGAGACACCTCAGCTGAGAGATAGATGCTGGAGTTATTCACAAAAACACATAGCTTACCTTCCGGAGAATGTGGGATGGGATTTTCTACCCACCATGTTTATCCATTTCACTAAAATCTCGATCCTGCAAGGGTGATCAAGGCATACAAGGTTCGTTTCGTAAAGGTCCCAACCGAAACACAGTTGCGTGTGTTTTGTTGTTGCTGTTGGGTCACGCATTCATATGTCAGTTTGTCCAGAAGTTTACCAAATATGCTTGCAGCTGCTTTGGGATGTGCAGTGATGGTAAAAACACCTGTGCAAAGAGGGTACATCGTGTCGAGCAAAACTTCTTGAAGCAGTCCCCGTGCAAATAAGCAAAGTTAGTGATGATTCACAACATCTAATGCCAAGAAATACGGATCAATCAGGACATCCTGAATTTGTGTCCTGCACTTGGTTCAATGCCATCAGGAGGGTTTGCAAGTTCCCCCATGAGGGTGCCGAGCGGCCAGCCGGTGGGGAAGTACAGCAACTCAGTAGCACTTGCAAGCTCCAAGACCTGCACAACCATGCATCCAGTTGGCTGACTAATGACTTCCAGTTGCCAAACAGAATGATGAATGGTTACATAATTTTACATATATGTTTTTGCCTGTGCAGGATGAAGTACATTCTACAGATTTCGAAACAGTATTGTGACTCTGGATTCTGTGAGCAGCCTCCACCAGGTTCATTGTGAAGGCAAACTAGCCAACCAAATGGCTATGTCTTCCGAGGGAGCTGGTAGACAAAATCCTCGCTTCCATGCGCAAGAACTTGGTGGTGTTGTGGACACCTGGCGGAATGAAGTTGGGAAGCAAATCGCAGCATGCATACTGTGAATCTGCTGAAAGCAAAGGGCCAAGCTTGATTGAAATGCAAGGTGACAGGGGCTGTGAGGTGCCCCTACTGCTGTCTCGAGAGATTAGAGATGTGACTTTGATGGAGGCTTTCGTAGACTGCTTCACGGGGAGCTGTCTTATCACATTCCCAAGTAACCAAAACCGGACAGACTTGCAAAAAACTCGATGTCGCCTCGGCAATGCTGGCAAATAGCTCAAGTAGCAGCATTTTAAAGTCCGCAAGGAATGACCTGGAAGCAGGGACGGTCGGGCGCACCCCCAAGCCCACAGCTTACTGTAGCATTGTTTTGGTGCTCTTTGATGCTCTTTGTCTCTTTGTGTATCTGCATATTTCAAGCCAACTTATGGAAACATATCTATGCACCGTGCTTCCCGCAGTGTGATCCGCTTGATAAGTAAACAGGAAACTCACGTCAGGGCAAACTTACACTGCACATTTTGAAGTCAGCGATGGACCGTCGATGGCATTCCGCCGGGTGTCACTTTGCAGGCCAAGCAAAAAGGCACCAGCTACCCGCTTGTCAGTTGTGCACTCATCGCTTGGAGCCAAGTTAAAGAATGCTAAAGCCTTTACTTGCTTAGCTTCTTGGCATCAAAAAACTATCATTGCAACTCTCCACCAGCTTGTGGCCCACACAGCGTCAAACACCTTGAAAGCTCTGACTGCTTATACATTGATGCCACAAGCTAAGTTGAAGCCTTACTTCTTGAAGGCAACGAACGCAGCCCCTGTTTTGGGCTGCATGCACGCTTCAGACGGGGAAAATTGCTTCGAACATCTCCCAGCCACAGCACTGCCTCGTTTGGAATTCTATGGGATGAAGCTGTGCTCTTGCAAAACGAATGATATCACATCTGCCTGTGTGACTCCCTCAAGATCTACTACAATGCATATTGTTTGGTGTTGCAAACAAGGAAAACACGACATGTTCAAGTTCAGGATTGTTCAAGTCATGAAAACTGACAGTGTACCCCTGTATGACACTTCGTATTTCCAGGTCAGCGATGGACCATCGATGGCATTCCGCCGGGTGTCACTTTGCAGGCCAAGCAAAAAGGCACCAGCTACTCGCTTGTCAGTTGTGCACTCATCGCTTGGAGCCAAGCTAAAGAATGCTAAAGCCTTTACTTGCTTAGCTTCTTGGCATCAAAAAACTATCATTGCAACTCTCCACCAGCTTGTGGCCCACACAGCGTCAAACACCTTGAAAGCTCTGACTGCTTATACATTGATGCCACAAGCTAAGTTGAAGCCTTACTTCTTGAAGGCAACGAACGCAGCCCCTGTTTTGGGCTGCATGCACGCTTCAGGCGGGGAAAATTGCTTCGAACATCTCCCAGCCACAGCACTGCCTCGTTTGGAATTCTATGGGATGAAGCTGTGCTCTTGCAAAACGAATGATATCACATCTGCCTGTGTGACTCCCTCAAGATCTACTACAATGCATATTGTTTGGTGTTGCAAACAAGGAAAACACGACATGTTCAAGTTCAGGATTGTTCAAGTCATGAAAACTGACAGTGTACCCCTGTATGACACTTCGTATTTCCAGGTCAGCGATGGACCGTCGATGGCATTCCGCCGGGTGTCACTTTGCAGGCCAAGCAAAGAGGCACCAGCTACTAGCTTGTCAGTTGTGCACTCATCGCTTGGAGCCAAGTTAAAGAATGCTAAAGCCTTTACTTGCTTAGCTTCTTGGCATCAAAAAACTATCATTGCAACTCTCCACCAGCTTGTGGCCCACACAGCGTCAAACACCTTGAAAGCTCTGACTGCTTATACATTGATGCCACAAGCTAAGTTGAAGCCTTACTTCTTGAAGGCAACGAACGCAGCCCCTGTTTTGGGCTGCATGCACGCTTCAGACGGGGAAAATTGCTTCGAACATCTCCCAGCCACAGCACTGCCTCGTTTGGAATTCTATGGGATGAAGCTGTGCTCTTGCAAAACGAATGATATCACATCTGCCTGTGTGACTCCCTCAAGATCTACTACAATGCATATTGTTTGGTGTTGCAAACAAGGAAAACACGACATGTTCAAGTTCAGGATTGTTCAAGTCATGAAAACTGACAGTGTACCCCTGTATGACACTTCGTATTTCCAGGTCAGCGATGGACCGTCGATGGCATTCCGCCGGGTGTCACTTTGCAGGCCAAGCAAAGAGGCACCAGCTACTAGCTTGTCAGTTGTGCACTCATCGCTTGGAGCCAAGTTAAAGAATGCTAAAGCCTTTACTTGCTTAGCTTCTTGGCATCAAAAAACTATCATTGCAACTCTCCACCAGCTTGTGGCCCACACAGCGTCAAACACCTTGAAAGCTCTGACTGCTTATACATTGATGCCACAAGCTAAGTTGAAGCCTTACTTCTTGAAGGCAACGAACGCAGCCCCTGTTTTGGGCTGCATGCACGCTTCAGACGGGGAAAATTGCTTCGAACATCTCCCAGCCACAGCACTGCCTCGTTTGGAATTCTATGGGATGAAGCTGTGCTCTTGCAAAACGAATGATATCACATCTGCCTGTGTGACTCCCTCAAGATCTACTACAATGCATATTGTTTGGTGTTGCAAACAAGGAAAACACGACATGTTCAAGTTCAGGATTGTTCAAGTCATGAAAACTGACAGTGTACCCCTGTATGACACTTCGTATTTCCAGGTCAGCGATGGACCGTCGATGGCATTCCGCCGGGTGTCACTTTGCAGGCCAAGCAAAGAGGCACCAGCTACTAGCTTGTCAGTTGCGCACTCTGCTTGGAGCGGTTTTACAATGAACTTTACAACCATCTACTTGCGTGGCAGCTGTCTGCCTGTTTTTCTCACGAGATTAAGCCCTTGCCACTAGAATCAAGCATGGTAGATGGTGGAGCATGTTCAATTTTTATTTGGTATAATTACTATACATATATATATATTATCATATTGTGTTTCTGAGTTTTCTTGGAAAAACAAGGGTTGCCTCAGTCGGAGATTTCCTGGTGCGTTTCTGGGATACTGCGCGTCTCAAACTCGCACATTGACCGGTTTGCCTTCCTCCTTTGGTATGAGCTGCCGCCACGTCGGCTTGGCTGAGAAGGCATGCCTGCAAAGCTATGCGGGAATGAAAAGCGGCATCAAGCTGCGTTCAATATTCTAAAAGACGGAAAGCAACCTTGAAACTGATTCCAGTATGTGGTGCCATACGACTGCGCAATCCGGAGTGAGAACTAAAAGCAGGACACAAACCTGCAGGCGCCTTTCGACAAGATGGTGTTTGGCGGGGCAGAGAACACCGGGACGGGCAGATCCGGCGTGAAGCGGGGACTGTAGACTTTCACTGGTTTGTCGAGCAGGACCTTCTCCACGTTTGTGAGTTGCTTATTCACATCATCCTCGCAAACAACATAGTCGCCCTTCTGCAGTTCCCTCGCCATCTTGCAAGCTTCAGAGCCGGATGGAACCTGAGCTGGCGCTGAGCCAGTGGACCCCATGTTTGGCACTGAGATGCGATGGGTCGGTGTTACCTCCAGAACCGCATTGTCTGCCGTCAGCCGAATCATCTCGGACGACTCGCCCTCCTTCAGCTCAGAAACCTGCGAGTTGAGAGATTTGGAACCTATCAGTATAGGCAAATCCCAACATCAGTTCCGGAAGTTCAGATTGCGAGTGTTTCAGGGGAAGGTTGCAGAAAAAGGCCGTCACGAACTTTTGGGGATTTTTTGCTTGCCTTGACCACATCACCTCCAAGAGCTGCCACATTATCGCCCAACTGAAGCGCAGGCGGACAGACAAGTTCAGGATCAGGACCACCAGCATACCGCCGAAAAACAGCAGTTGCAAAATAACAGTCCGGCTCTTTGTTTCCAATGGGGGCTGACACCAAGCTCCTCATCTTTTCAAAGTGGGGCGGGAAATTTGGGAGTCATTACTGTCAATGGAATTTAAACATTTTAAACATCTCAAAGTATATACAGCAAATCAAAACCATTCAAAACCAAGGCTCCAGGATGCAAGTGAATTTTGGGAAGACGTTTGTGATGCAGTGTCGCTTGGGCCAATGTCATCTTCCACATTGGCCGGCGCATGGTCAAGAGCTCCAACCGGCTCCGAGGGGACACCGCGTGACCTTGAACAAATTGAACGCAAGTTTAGGCACCACCCGAGTATGCAAATGAAGATAATAGTGAACCAAGCTTCTCGCCCAATGCCTGCCTGTACTGCTTTTTGGCGGGCTCTTTCAAAATCTTTGTCATTTCCAGTCTGAGTCGCTTCCTTCAGCTGTTTCCGAATACGGGATGTCTCATGATGCTTTCTTACCGTCCGGTACAGGTCTTCCATGGGTTTCAAATGCTCTTTGTCGACACCTTCGAGAATGGCTCTCTCCTTTGCATCCTCAAACTCCTCAAGTTTCCCTGATCTGGCAGCATTCTCAAGGGCCTCCAAAGCTTGGGATTTTCCTTTCTTCTTCCTCAGTTCCTTCTGGAAAACCGTGTCTAACTCCATCAATTGCTCCTCGCCAACACCTACATCAATGGCTTTCTCTCTGACCATGAAAAATTGATCTGCATCTCCTGTTTCGGCAGCTTCCTTCACTGCCTTGAGGGCGTGCTTCTTTTTCTCGATGTGCTTGCTTTGATCAAAGTCGGCACGGGCTGCCGTCAAGACTGCATCACTGAAACCAATGTCTTGAGCTTTCAAAATAGTTGTCTCGAAAAGAGTGGAATTTGCAGTATCAATTGCTTTTTTGAGCATCTCCTGCACATGTGCATTCTTCTTTCCAAGCTGGTTTGAGTCGAAGTTTGCACGTGCCCTTTTCAGGTCTTCATCCTGGATGCCCTGAGCTTTCGCTTTTGCAAAAGCTTCCTCAAAGGCAACAGGGTCTGCTGATTCTGCACTTTCTAATAAGACTTTGTAGGCATGGGACTTCCTCTCACGTTGCTGCTCAAATTCCTGCAGCCTCTTTTTATATGGTTCCACTTTCGCTCTGTCAAGCCCTTGCTCTTCGGCCCTGCTCACAGCTTGTTGCAGTTCTGCTTCAGAGCCAGATTCAGCTGCATTGTAGAGTTCATGCTCGATTTGGACAGGGCTTGAGGGAGGTGCCAAGCGCTGCAACTGATTCGAGTTGGACAGTGATAGGGCTTTTTTCTCTACCTCAACATGAAGCTTGTAGTCGAGCCACTTTTGCAACTCTTCGCTCTTGTGGTTGTTGACGAGCCACATCCAGTCCTTGCTCAATGTTCGCACATCAGAGAAATAGGAGAGGACAATTGCAATGTCTCCGTTTTCCATCTTCTTTGATTTCAATGCGAACTTTTCGAGGAAGCGCTTTCCGCCAGGAGCATCATCCATCTTTATGTTCAACAGCCCATCTGAATGGAACCGTGAGAGCAACACGTTCTGCATCGCTTTCTTGAGGGCTTCCTGTGTATTTGGGTGCACCGAGTCCCCCAAGGCCAAGTTTGCAATGAAACTTGGAAGTTTTTCCGGATCCACGATGGACATGATCGTCCGCTTGGATACTTCTTTCTTTGCCTCAGCCCTTTCCTCCCCTGGACGCCCCCAGTTCTTTTCGAGCCATTCCTCCACACGATCGTGCGTCTGCTTTGTCTCGGCCATGGCAGTGTCAGGCACGAGCTCCACCAGCATTCCGTCTGCAGCGTGCTTGATGTTGTCAACCTTGCATGGATTCAAATTCCAAAACTAGGCTGTCATGTGGGAAAGAGCCAACAAAAAAAATGAACAGAATGGCAAAGCTCTATCTAATTGCTCCAAAATACCTCGTCCTTTTGGGACGAGCGCGGAATGACTTCAGAGGCAGTGAGGGCAGTCAGTAGAAATGGAACCACCAACGCAAACCTACAGGGGATATCAGGGCATGGTGTTTGAGCGTCCAAGCAACGGCATTTCTGTAGGATGTTGCATGTCCATGCATTTCCTGCCAACTTTTTGCCTTCCATCTGCGATCAATGACCACTTGACGTTCTGTATCTGTTTGAATGATGTTGCCAAGGTTTATGATGTTTGTACTCAAGGGATAAGGCTTTTTGCGTTTGTTGATTGCACAACTGGAAGCAGATTTCGGATTGAGGTCAAAAAACAACAAGCCTCGGACATCCAAAGCTATGCACACCGCAAGCCATGCTCTATGCTCCGCAGCCCAAACGAAGACGGAGTGGGAGTGCTGACAAACTTGAGACAAAAAGGTGTCACTGAAGTCAAACAGCATGCAAAAGTGTTATATAATGTTGCTCAGATATTTTGGTACTGCATGGAAGCAGGCGGATTTTTCAAACGCTCGCCTTCCCAAACAACGGTGTGCACAGAGGCACCAATCGCAAATCAACCGTGCACTCTGCAGGCGAGCGCTGATTACACAAACAAACGTGCACTAGCGGTCACTAGCAAGCGGCACCAACTGCTTTGACTGTGCCCACTTGCATGCAAAGGAAGGAACTGTACAACGAAGTTGCAATGACAAGCACTGAATCTGTATTCAGTTGACCCCGGACGAGCATGCCCGAGCTTGCTTGTCGTCTACAAAGACCATGGCTTCCCTCGGAGCTGTCCTTGGGGGTCTGGAACCAAGGAGAATCGGTTCTTGGCTGTCAGTTCTAAAGTTCAGGATCTGGGAGTTCTTTTACATCAGATTTTGCAATGATTTCATGTTTCAGCTTGAAATCCAGCCATTGCGACAAATCTTCCTGGCTCTTCTCAGCATCATCTTGATTGTCTCTCCCCGTTCTCTGATCTGAAGCATAAGCCAATGCAATCGCCAGCTCGCCACTGGGTGTTCTCCAGTGCCTCAGCATCACTCTTTCCAATGTGATCAGATTCTTTGCATCATCCTGGAACTTCAGGCTTTGCACAATGCTGGAATCTGGCGTCGAGCGCAAAATGTTAAGCAGCCTTTCTCGTAACTCGATGTTCAAACGCTCATCGGCCATGTCAGGAAGTTGCATATTCCCCACATATTCCTCTAGGTACTTCTCTTCCACAATGGACATTGTGCTCCGAACAACAATCGCTCTGGTAAGTGTGCTTTGAGAAGTCTTGCCAAGTGTGCTCCAAAACCGTTGAACCTCCTCCTGGTTTGATTTGGTGAAGGAAGACTTCTCAATGTGAAGAATAGGGCGAAGTGCTTCTCCAGTGTCCTCATGGGGCGGTTCCGCAGGACACATGTTGCGGCACTTGTCTCAGGAAAACGACCCCGCTTCAAAGTTTCAGAATGGAACTGGAAAGACAAAAATGGACTGCTGACTGGCCACATTTTCTGAAGAAGCATTCAGGCAACAGACCAAAGCTGCCGTTGCTATTGGGAGCCTTGGCTTGCCACAAATAACAAACAAAAGTCGAGGTCTCAACATGAACATACGTTCCAGGCCCCAAAGCAGTCGGGAATGAATACTGCACATCGAGCGGAAACGTTAGACAAGGCACACACGTGCAGTCTTATCAATTCTTGGAAACGCAAGAACGGCAGAGTTGGACCGACTTCCTTGTCGTTATCAATGCAAAACACTTGCTCAGAACTGTGGAATGCATCGGACGTGCAAACAACACCAACAACAACAACAACATAACACGATGAGATGAACCTATAAAAAGGTCAAAGGCTCACTTAGGACGACTTTTTTACTCACTTAGGACGACATTTTGAGATGTGGACTTCAACCTTCAGGGTTAACTCCATTGGATACAGACCTTTAGGGTTTGACTTGGGGACACGGGGCTGGGACATGGGGTGGGTTTACCAGCATGGTGGATTACATAAGAGAACATGATATAGGGTAACAGTTGGGGACACGGGGCTGGGGCATGGGGTGGGTTTAGGGCCCCAGTGGGTCTGGGCCTCACTTGCGCACACGTTTTTTGGCTCACGTGCGCACGCGCAAACAACCCCCCTTTTTGAGTCTCACGTGTGCGCGCGCAAGAGTTGGTGGGGTGGGGTGGGGTGGGGTGGGCGGGGGGGGTGGGTGGGGGTGGGGTGGGGTATAACGTTCATGTTTGCTTGCAAACGCACGCACTGAGCTGGGGTCGGGCTTTGGTTGGGTGGGGTGGGGTGGGGTGGGGTGACCTTCTCCGCTGTTATGTTCATTGTCTCCTTGGCAGTGCGTCTCGTGCTCCGTTTTGCCCTCTGGGCTGCCCGAATCCGGCAAAACGGACCTCCCCATGTGGTTTCTCTCTAGGGTGCTTCGTCTCGGCCGCTCAGCTGCCCAAATCCTCCAAAACGGGCCTCTGAATAGGGCTCTTTGTCAGCTTGGCTGTGCTCCATTCTGTGCTCCTTTCTCTCTCTGCTGCTCCGTTTTTCCCGCTCATCGGCCCAAGTCTTCTACAACGGACCTTCTTTTCTCTTTACTCCGTTCTCTGACACCTTTCTCCAAATGTACAAGTGAACTAACCTAACGCCAAGATGCAGAAATGCACTGTTTTTCCCTACAAAATTGTGTGGGGTTCTTGTTTTTAGATCTGCATCGCCCGTGTTGTCCTCCTCCGCCTCCTCCTCCTCTGCGCCTCTCCTCCCACACCATCTTTCACCAACACTTTGCCACACACACACACACCATCTTTCACACACATCTTTGTCACACACACACATTTTTGTCACACACACCATCTTTGTCACACACACACACCATCTGTCTCACACCATCTTTCACCAACACTTTGTCACACACCATCTTTGTCACACACCATCTGTCCCACAACATCTTTCACCAACACTTTGTCACACACCATCTTTCTCACACCACTTTGTCACACACCATCTTTCTCACACCATCTTTCACCAACACTTTGTAACACACCATCTTTCACACACATCTTTGTCACACACCATCTGTCTCACACCATCTTTCACCAACACTTTGTTACACACCATCTTTGTCACACACAATCTTTCACACACATCTTTGTCACACACCACCTGTCTCACACCATCTTTCACACACAAAATTGTCACACACAACTTTGGCACACACCATCTTTCACATACCTCTTTGACACACATCATCTTTCACACACAACTTTGTCACACACCATCTTTCAACTCCATCTTTCACACACCTCTTTATCACGCCTCTTTGTCACACACCATATTTGACACACACACACGCATCTTTGTCACACACCATCTGTCTCACACCATCTTTCACCAACACTTTGTCACACACCCTCTTTCACGCACAACTTTGTCACACACCATCTTTCACACACATCTTTGTCACACACCATCTGTCTCACACCATCTTTCACCAACACTTTGTCACACACCATCTTTCACACACAACTTTGTCACACAGCATCTTTCACTCACATCTCTTCACCTTCGTTTTGCGTGGCAGGCGTGGCACTTATGACACTTGGCTGAATCTGGTGGCGCGCTTGGTCCCCGTTGGTCGCCCGTGACGCAGAACTACTTGAAAGGTCCACTTTGGAAGATTGAAACCGGTAAGCACCCGAAAGTAGAGCTGGGGGAGGTCCGTTTCGAAGGATTCGGGCCGCTCAGTAAGCAAAACAAGGAACCAGACGGAGAACAACGGAGCACAGCCAAGCAGACAAAGAGCCCCATTGGACAGAGCACAGCCAGATTGAAGAGGTCCGTTTTGAACGATGCACAGAGAGAACAATGCACAGGCAATCGAATGCGGAGCAGAACAGCTGGGGAAGGCCAAAGCATGCAGAGACAAGCCGAGTGCATGCACAGACAACCTGATTTGTTACATCTGCAAGCTCCCAGACAGGCGACACTTGGAGGCTCGGGGGCGGTTATAAGTACATAGGGGACATACTAGGTACATACGGCACTTACTATTTGGATACAGCGCTTACAGTATGTCACTTTGTGGACTTACTGGGACAGCACTTAGCGCACTTACATAAGTGGCTTACAGCACTTACCTAAGTCTGCGAGCGCTTTTGTGTTTCCGCAACACGCGATTTGGATTTTTGCGCTTCCACGAAACCTTGCAACGGAATTTTGTGTTTCCACCAAAACCCAATTCAAAATTTTGTGTTTCCACCAAATATGAAACGGGATTTTGTGTTTCCGCAATTTTTCCCGAGAGCGCCTGCGAAGGGTTCTTCGTAAAAAAGCAGCCGTTATACTACATCTTCACACCTTCACATCTGCTGATCTACATCTTCACACCTTCACACCTGCAGATCTAGATCTTCACACCCTCACTCCTGCAGATCTAGATCTTCACACCTTCACATCTGCAGATCTAGATCTTCACACCCTCACATCTGCAGATCTAGATCTTCACACCTTCACATCTGCAGATCTAGATCTTCACACCTTCACACCTGCAGATCTAGATCTTCACACCCTCACATCTGCAGATCTAGATCTTCACACCTTCACACCTGCAGATCTAGATCTTCACACCCTCACATCTGCAGATCGAGGGTGTGAAGATCTAGATCTGCACACCCTCACATCTGCAGATCTACATCTTCACACCCTCACACCTGCAGATCTAGATCTTCACATCCTGACACCTGCAGATCTAGATCTTCACACCCTCACATCTGCAGATCTACATCATCACACCCTCACACCTGCAGATCTAGATCTCTTCACACCCTCACACCTGCAGATCTAGATCTTTACACCTTCACATCTGCAGATCTCCTCTCGCTCTTCTTCTATTCTCTCTTAAGGCGGGGGCGGTGCCGCCGGAGCGCCACGAAACGCAACCCTTTCGCACGAAATGGACGTTGGACGTCCAAAACCTAGGTAAAATTGCGATTTTGAAGCGTCCCCGGCAACCCTTTCGCACGAAATGGACGTTGGACGTCAAAAACTGAGGAACTAGACGACGGTTGGCCCGAGAGCGAAAAACACGTCCTTCAAGCAGCTCTGAGTATGGCAGTCGTAAAAAATAGTCGGTGAATGGTTGGTGAATTTGATATGAGTTATGGAGGGGAAAGTTGTGAAATTACACACAGACGCTTTTACACACAAACACTTTCACAGACGCGTTTACACACAGAGACTTTTACACACAGACGCTTTTACACACAGACACTTTTACACGCAGACGCTCTTACACAGAAGCTTTTACACACAGACTCCTTTACACACAGACGCTTTCACAGACGCGTTTACACACAGAGACTTTTACACACAGACTCTTTTACACACAGACACTTTTACACGCAGACGCTTTTACACACAGAAGCTTTTACACGCAGATGCTTTTACACACAGAAGCTTTTACACACAGACACTTTTACACACAAACGCTTTTACACACAGACCCTTTTACACACAGACCCTTTTACACACAGACGCTTTTACACACAGAGGCTTTTACACGCAGATGCTTTTACACACACACACACTTTCATACACAGAGGCTTTTACACACAGAAGCTTTTGAAGAGTGTCTCTATATGACATTTTATGGTCCTGAACTCAAACTGTTCTGTTTTTGACATCAAGCACATGATGGCATCGAGCTCTGTTGCAAACGTTTGTAGACATTTAACTAGTGAAGTATTGTCACATGTGTCATTTACAGCATCATGGTACCGATCTTTTTTGGGCCAATTATGTGGGATTTTCCATAATAAAATGAAATAACATGTGTCATACGCAGCATCATGGCACTGAGCTTTTTTGGGCCATTTATGTGGGATTTTCCATACTAAAATGAAATGACATGTGTCATACACGGCATCATGGTACCGAGCTTTTTTGATAGTTTCTGTGGGATATTCCCAGAATAAAATGAGATAACGCGTGTCATTTACTGCATTATGGTATTGGACCTTTTTTTTGTGCAAACGTTTGCAGACATTTCACTAGTGAAATCTTGTCACATGTGTGATTTACAGCATCATGGTACCGATCTTTTTGGGCCATTTATGTGGGATTTTCCAAAATAAAATGAAATAACATGTGTCATGCACGGCATCATGGTACCGAGCTTTTTTGGGCCATTTCTGTGGGATTTTCCATAATAAAATGAAATAACCTGTGTCATACACAGAGGCTTTTACACACAAACGCTTTTACACGCAGATGCTTTTACACACACACACACTTTCACACACAAACGCTTTTACACACAGACGCTTTTACACACAGACGCTTTTACACGCAGACACTTTTACACACAGACACTTTTACCCACAGAAGCTTTTACACACACACACACGCTTTTCTTTTACACACACACACACTTTCACACACAGAGGCTTTTACACACAGACGCTTACACAGAGACTTTTACACACAGAAGCTTTTACACACACATACACACACACACGCTTTTCTTGTACACACACACACTTTCACACAGATGCTTTTACACACAGACGCTTACACAGAGACTTTTAAACACAGACGCTTTTACAC